GGGCAACGGATTGCTAGTCGAACTTGTACCAGCCCTAGCAGGTGGAATATCCCTTTGAGCCAGCTTCGCCTTCATGTACCCAATAGGGTCATTTCGTCTCAGGAGAGCAAGCTCCTCTTCAGTCATTCGGGACAAAGACGGTTGAGGGAGTTCCACACGCATGGGAGTCACATCCATTTCGACTTCCATGGGTTTATTGGTCGTGTCACCGTCACCTTCATTCGTTTCATGCTCATCGTCTTCTTTATTATCATCCAAATCCACCACTTCGATATCTTCGTTCTCGCTGCTATTTGCGTCTGACTCTGGCCCAGAAGTCGAACCATCGTTGGCATTTCCTTCCTCAGACCCTTCCTCTGCAGATTCTTCGTTTCTTTGATCAGAATCAGCTTTCTCTCCTTCAGCGTGAATGTCCTTTGGATCCTCTTGAAGGGTTTCAAGAGGGGACTTTTGAAGAGAAGTTCTTTGTAAAGTCTCTGCAGATTCATGAAGCGTTGCTTCATTTGTTTCTTTTAGAGGAGGAGAAGTACTCTGATCATCTTGTTTCTCTGAAGTCCCAGCCAGAACCTCCATATTGGAGGAACCTTTGTTCTGCACAAGGTTACTGGAATCCCCTTGAGGAGAAGAGTTGATCGGAGCAGCAGCTTTTGATGGTGAAGTCGAAGTGGTAAGAGCTGGATTCAAAATATCCTACAGAGGCAAAAGAATATTAAAAGCATGCACCAAGGTAATGAATAATTATTTTGTCAAAGATTTAAAGTTCAATTTACCTGTGGACTCTCAGAAGAGAGGTTGCTAGCTATGCGTTCCAACATTACGTTGGAGGTCGAAGATGGAATTTTGGATTTAGGTGAGGGAGCAGCATCCCTGGAATCGAGTCCAGAGACACTAGTTGGTACAACACTTTTGGAAATTTCCTTCTTCTGCTTCTTCTTCGAAGCAGCTGGTAAATTCCCTCCAGCATTGGGGTCTTCCCCAGTAGTGTTTGTTTTTCGTTTCTTTGGAGTTGTTGGCGGGAGTTTGTTAGTCTGAAAAGATTTAAACAATAAGTTAGACGAAAATCATGAAACATTAGTGTATTCGAAATATCAAGGCTAAGTGATTACTTGTGGAGTTGGAGCACTGGTTATTACTGGTGTAGTTGTTGTTGTTGTTGCAGAAATTGTTGTTGGTTTGGATAGAGTCACATTATCAATGGTTTCGACAGAGGCCTGAGAGGCGCTCCCTTCTTTTGACTTTGAAGCAGCAGTCTTTATCCTGATGGCTGAAAATCAAAACAATTAAGGCAACAGTTAAAAATATAGAAAATGAGAAACATTTGGGATTTTCCCAAGCATTCGCACCTGTGCCTTGATCAGATTTAATCTACATGGTAGAAAGGTCACAGCGAAGATGTCCTGGGAAATCGTGGAGCCAATGTCGAGCCCATGTCACAGTCTCAGATGGCTTTGGTTTCTTTTGAAGATATTTGAACATTTCTTTGCAAGTGAACCACCAAGGGTATGGAGGAAACCAAGCCACAGCCAGTTCTGAGGTAGGTAATCTAGGAAATTTAGGTGGATGCATTTCGAATGCCAACTGTTGTACCCCAAAATTTTCCCTCCCATATTCTTCAAGGTTTGCTAAGGTCATGCTTCAAACTCTCCCAAGAGTTGCACAGTCCAATGGCCTCCTAACAGTCAAAAATTAGGGTTTTGGTTCTAGCAAAGAAATTGAAGTTTCCAAGGGTCCAAACAAGTCCCACATGCCTATAAACATTGTCAAGCATCCATATTCCAAGTTTCAAGACTCACAGCACAAAATTGCACAGTTAAAAACCCTAATTGCTTCATAGTCAACTGCAGGGGCAAAATGGTCATTTGACAGTCAAAAGTCAAAATTTTTGGCCAACATCTTATTTTGAAGCCACAAACATCATTTGATCAATTCTTGATCATGATTCTCAAAGCATGGATCAAAAAGTCTCAAGATGCAAAAGTTTCTATTTTTGGACAGTTGGAAAAGTCAACTGCAAATTGACCAAGGCATAACTTCCACATGGTTTATCAGAAAAATTCCATCCAAAGCTCATTTTGAAAAGAATGACATTTCCTACAACTCATCTTCACACTTCAAGTCCAAGAAATTCTCTCACAAAAAGTTATCAATCTCAACATTATAGGTCATTTTCAAAAGTCAACAAAAAGGGACTTTAAGTCAAAGACCATAACTTGAGATTGGTAAATCAAAATGACATGGGACCAAGGGCATTGGTTAGAGGGCTTCAATACCTTTCCAAAATGTCCAAGAACATGATTAAAGCTTAAAAATTGAGCAAGATATGCCTTGTGGAAGTTAGGAAATTTTTGGGAATTTTGAAAAGTCAACTTTGCTTCAAAAGCCTCAAAATTGCTAATGGGCCTCAATTTCTTCCATGAATCATCACCCAAAGGCTATGCACGACCCATTAAACTAAAAGGGAATTATTTTCTTATTTTTAATTAATTAATTGAGTTTTTAATCCTATTAATTCATTTAATTAAAATTAATTATGAAAAAATACTCAAATAAAGGTTTTTGAATCTTTTGGTGCAGCATATTCACTCATCATGACCTAGAGATTTCGTGTACCACATCAAGAGGCAAGATCTTCCAAAATAGGCAAGTTTTCATGGTAAAAAGTTTGAAGAAAAGATATGCAAAATCAAAAATTCAAAAGCATTGAATACATGGATTATGGGCTTGTTTTGTTTGACCTAATCATGCTACATACATATGCAAACATAAACTAAGGCATAAGAACAAGAAAGTTGCGCTCAGAATAGAGAACAAAAATTGCACTTTTACACAAAAAGTCTCAAAACTGTTTTCATAGCTAGAGCTTGTTTCAAAGATCAAAAACCATTCCACTTCATTCCTGACACTACCAGGAAGCTTTTCCAATTGAAATCCAGTCTCCACGCATAAGGAATTGGTAGAACCACGTTGCCCTGTTCATAAATATTTTCATATTCGTATTTGAATTTGCATACACTTTCCATACGTTTTAAGCATTGATTTATACTAACATGAGTGTTCTGAAGCTATTGACATTCTTTGATTGAATTTTTAAGCCCTGTACACGAATCCACCATGAAAGCTGCTTAGGGTTTCAGAGTTCTAATTTTGGGGTTTTACGCATAAGGCAAAATTGGCCAATAAAACCAGTACCATTGGAATCGTGACATCAAAACGGATTGAAATCACCCATCGCGCCCTTTTTCTTTTTGCTTATGAGCTAATCGCTATTATTCCATGGCTGTTTTAGTGGGGGTTTAAAACCCCCGCTATCTATTCTATATTTTCAGGAAAAAACGAAGAAGCAAGGGAGAAGACGCTGAGCTGTTGGCTTGTGGTTGGTTAGTTCAAACATTGGCGCGTTTTATTTTAATCTAGCATAATATTGTTTTCTCTCTCATAATAATCATGGTCCACTAAATGAACAAAGAGACTCAATGGCTCAGTTGGCTTGTGCGTTGTCCTACAGGTATTGGGACCTGGGTTCGATTCCCAGGTCCCCCACCCTTTCCATAATTTTTCTTCTAATGTAATTCTATGCAGCATGCCATCCAAGGACCATCATGCGTCCTCACTATCTAGCCTGCCAAGTGTCCAGGAACTCCAATCCAAAGGCAAGAACCTGGAGTCCACCATGTATCCTGGTCAACTGACGCACACGTAACCACAAAAAGTCCAAAAGGGCCAGCTTTCTAATGGGCCAAACTGCTTCAACAAAACCTCCAAATTGGGCAGAAACCCCCCCCTTTGTTTGTATTTTCTTTCTCTCATTTTTTTCTCTTTTATTTATTTTAATTTAATTATTTTCTTTTAATTCACCAAATTAATTTTCATAATACAAAAATACAAAAAAATCCAGAAAAGTCAAAAATAAAAATATGTATATTTAATTTTTGATTCATTAATAGTTTTGTAAATAAATTTCAATAATCAAATTAGTTTAATTTTAGGTTTTCAACTTTAATGTTTTTTCTTAAATAAACTAAAACATGTAGAAATTAGGGTTTTAATATTTTTATTCTTTTTCTTAATAAATAACCCTTTTTTTATTCTTATCATTATTAATTATTAATTATTTTTGTAAATACTTATGTAACTAAATAATTAGTAAATTAGGTCAAAACTTAAATATTTTTTTAAATAATAAAAAACAAATTTAGAATTAGGGTTTTATTTAACTGTTAATTTTAATTAATCCTCTTTATTTCATACAATACCAAAAAAAACCAAAAATAACTTCTTTTCTTATTAAATAATTAATTAGCCTTTTTAATTCAATTTAATTTTTTTAAAGGGTCCAACGCCCTCGCACATTCGATTATAATTCTTTTTCGCACTTATTCTTATTTATTTTCTTGTGATTGTTATGTAATTGCCCCAAAGCCTTGTAATAGTCATTAGGTTATACTCACATAGAGATTGTTATATAAGTGTCAACTAAAAATGTCATATTATTTTAAAAAAATTTAATACTTTATAAATGAAATTATTCATAAGAAATAAGTTTTTATAGTGTTTTTGTTCATGTAAATTAGTATATTTTTATTTTCGTTTCTATATTTTTTATAAAGTTTTTAAATATTAAATTTAATTTGATTTTAGTTTTTAAAATTAAAATTTATAAAAAAAATTTATAAGTTTTTCTTGCAGATTTTCGTTTAAATTTTCTTGTAGATTTTAACTTTAAAAATAAAAAAATAAAAAATTTTAATGTTAAGAAATTATTTCCAAAAAAAAATTTACATGAAAGAAAATGAAGAATACATCAACTAAATGGGACCAAAAAAAATCTTAAAGTCTACCAAAATATTTAAGATTTCTGTTAACAAGTCGTCTCTTAATTTATCCACATTAATTTGACACCAAATTTTATTTAATTTTATACCAGTGATTAAAAAAAACATGTATAAGAGGTCTATGAGGTATCCACCAAACATTAACCATTGGTATTAAATGCCCTTGACATGAAAACAGATGGTGAGGTACACACAAGCTACGATAGTCTTGAAGAAGTTGATAAAGAGAACAAAAAGAACACTTGGAAGTTATTTGGTGGAGATATTGGTAAACACTATAAGGTCTTTAAGCTCACCCTTCAAGTAACTGATAAGGCTGATGATGGCACTGCTGTTGCTAAATGGACGGTAGAATATGAGAAAATCAACGACGATATTGACCCTCCAAATGGATGGATGGACTGCCTTACCAAATGCACTAGAGATGTTGATGCTCATCTTATCAAAGGAGAGAAAGTTGCTACATAAGTAATTGAGGCATTATATTAATTAAATAAAGTATTTAAATTAGGACTAGCGTGACGTTTCTAATCGCATGCATGTAACAGAAAAATATTTTGACTTTATAAAGCAAGTCTTCAACATCACCCACATCATTATTAAAAATAATGCTATTTCATGATCTCCAAATACATCAACATACAAGCAGCCATATCACACCCTCCCTGCAATTCAAAACCCTCACTTTTAAGATTGTTTTCACCTTCAGGAAATGGCTACTACAAACTTCATCACATTGATCATCTACTATTGGAACAATCATCTACAGTCAACAACGGAGCTTCTGCCAAATTCTTTTAGTAGTATGACAAAGCATAATCATCACTTTTCCAAGATAGCCTCGGCGGGGCATCTCTGAATTGGTATATGCATCTCGAGAGAACTTATATTCGTTCCTGTAGCGAACTTGTTGTAGCATTCCTAACGAATTATCAGTATAATATCAGTATGCCTCCGAATAGGACTCCGTTAAAGAGCTTGACCTAGAAGTCCAGTGAATCCTTCAAAGAGTACGTGCAAAGATGGTGTTTTCTAACTGCAACAGTTCAACCTCCTCCCCTCGATCGTGAACTCATTAATATGTTCATGGGGACTCTTCAAGGCCCACAGGATTCTTTGACATGGTATTCGTTGGGGAACAAATTGAAAATTTCTTTAAAAGTGGTAAAATTCAAGGAGGATCTAACATTTCCAATGGAAACAAAATGCCCTCCTCCAGTTTCCCAAAGAAAAAAGAACGAGAAACACATTATTATTATAGAGACAAAGGGAAAGCCCAGACTTATCCTCAAGTTCAAGTCTCGTACTTTCAAGTAGCAACAATTATTCATAATCAGTACTCACAAAAAAAGCTATGCTGCAACGGTCAGTAAAAAACCTTGGACGGTCCAACAACAATCTATCCAGTATCAACAACAGTATGCTCCCCTATAATAGTATGATCCTCAGTAACAATATGCTCCATAATAACAAAACTATAAGCAACACAATTATCATCAAGGACAACCGAGGCAGGAGAAGCCAGAACGGAGGTTGGATCCAATTTCCATGCCTTACAGTCAATTACTCACTCATTTTCTCAATAGCCAATTGGTTCAGTTAATGGAGCTTGGGCCTCCTCCAATTGTCGGCAAAAAAAGGATATGATATCACTAACATCATTGAACCAAGTGCTATTACCAGAAAAGGCAGGGCCTTTGCGACTGCAGCGCCTCCAAAGTTAAATGATGAAGCCCTATCTAAGGCAAAGGGTAAATAAGTTATCACCAACAATCATGGATTGTCATCTTACCAGGAAACTGAAGAGCTTCTATGAATCATCAAGAAGAGTGATAATAGAGTGGATGATCAACTCAACCAAACTCCCTCCAAGATTTCAATCTTGTCCTTGATCTTGCATTCAGAAGCACACTGTAATTCCTTAATGTAGATCCTGAGTTCAACTCATTAAACACATGATATAACAATGGGTCAGTTTGAAGGTTATATGACAAATATTGCAGCAGGCAATTATTGAAGCGGTAAAACGGCAGCAAAAAGTAAGTATTTATTTAGTTTTATCATATTGTCTCCATATAGATTAGTGCTACTGAATTATCGTTCGACAAGTCTCACGTTAATGAGTTTGGATTAAAATGGGTTTAAAGTAACAACACAGAAACATGAAGCTCTGATAAACAACTGAATACTAAGCCTTAATCTATCTCTAGAATTAAAACCCAATAGATGTACATCCTAAATCGGGATTGGAACCGTCCATTTCCGCAATAACCCAAACCCAAATAAAGAAAGAGATCATCAACATCGATTTATAAAATGAATTTCATACAACACCGTGAGCAATATATATACATATAATCAATTTGTATTTACATACAAACTCCAAAAAATGGAAAATACAAAGAGAAAAAGAGAAGAGGAACCAAACATCTTTTGGTCTATCTGCGCCAATCGATGAGAAAATCGACCTCAGATCATCTAGATGCAAACTCCATTGTTATTTTATAAGCTCTCTAGACCAAAAAATGATGTTCATGGTGTTAGGACTCAAAAATACTCAACCCATAACCTAAAAATATGATTTTTCCCTATTTAATAAGTTTGAAATTCGCAGATCCTGCTTAGAGGAACACAGCCCGCTAAGCGCACTCTGTAGTCATGAGAAAAAAATCACATTTTATTTCTGCCATAACTTGAGAACCGTAACTCTGATTTACGCATAGTCGGAAGCGTTGGAAAGTTTATTCAATTCTCTATCTAACAATGAATAAATATCAATGAAATTAATGATTTCCTATTCTTTTATTTGTGCCTTAATCTTTGACGGATTGCTCAAAATCGCCTCTTTGAAGCTATGACTTCGGCTCTTTATTGCTCAATGCTTCAAACATGAAGCTATGAAGCTATGACTTATTCTTTCAACCTAAGTGTTACACCAAACACATAACTTACTAGCATGATTATTCTATTCTTTTTTTTTTCAAAACTTTTTCATCTTTTTTCTTTCTTTTTCTTTTCTTTCTTTTTTCACTTTTTTCTTTTCCACAACTGCAAAGAAACCATCAACATAAGTGAGCAAACATTGCTCTCCCCAAATTGAATTCAACTAACATCATAATGTGAATACTCCCTACTTTCTAAGGCAAGGTAAAAATTCAAACCAAAAATCATGGTTGAAGATTCAACAAACAAAGATAATTATCCATAAAAAAGAGAACTAAATACTCATAGACAAGCATTAAGTTCAAAAATAACATGGACGTTCCCAAAAAGGCTCAAAGGGGTTACAAATACTCACACAGTCACAGGGTGAATTGACTATTTGGCTAAGGTATTTATGCTCAAAGTGAAACGAAAATACATTGACCTTTTTCATGCTTTCATACAATCAACAAACACAAAAGATTAAACATAATTAAATCCTGTCAGAATAAGAATTGTGGCCTCTAGCATATTTGAACAATGGAAAGCTTCTTCACATTTGGGGATAAAAAGGAACTAAAGTGATTCAATTAAAATCAAGTAATGTAACAAAATGAATGACATGGAATTTGTACAAATGAAAATTTTCCTAAATATGTTATGCTATAGAAAGTGATAAATGAGTGTTTGGCGTGTACCAACTTTAAAACTATATCATTACCATACATCTGCAAGTTAAAACACTTAAATTCGTAAAATCACAAAATGTGACCTCACGATTTCAAACCAAAATTGGACGACAAACAACAAACTAAATAGAATTATTAGAAAATAATAGTGTGCTAAGCAGGTTGAGCGCACTTAAATTGCTACACCAGAAACACGCATTAAGCGGGAAAGACCACGCTTAGCGATAGCAGAAAAACAGAGAAAAATAGCACGACAGCTACATTTCTATGTCAACCTACACTACACCTACAAAACCTCAACTACACAACAATGTAAAAAATTTTCAACCAATAAATTTCCTCAATCTAAACACGACAAGCTTTTATAAAACACAAAAATTAACACATTAACACAAATTATTATAAACATACTAAACGATCAGGTGAAAGTGGATTAAATAAGTTGTAAAGTAAAGATTTGAGAATTTTAAGAACTGGTCCAATTGCAACTTTTTTAATCAACATTCAGCATACTACCTAAAAGACTACAATGAAAAATAATAAAACATGCTTATTTTATGTCGTTAACTTGTCGCCTTTATTTTTCTAGCTAGTAACTTCCTCAAATCATGCCATGGTTTACCACACCGCGCAAACCTAAAGAAAGTGTCCTTAGAAAACAATTGAACAAACTTACGAAAACAAAATTTACAACATCACTTTGAACAACAAGAAAACACATATGGACAAGTACAAAATCAAACACAAAACAAATATAAAGCTAACATATATAAAGAAAGATTGACAAATATGAAAAATATGTACAAATTCACAAGTATGATAAACATATACAAGTAAATATGCAAATATACGTATACAAGTTTTAATTACACAATATGGACATTAGTTACAAAATTCAAAAACAAAGAACTATTGCAATGCGATCAAATAAAAACACTAATCCTCGACAACAACGCCATTTTGTTGGATCGGTAAAGCGGTAGAAAAAAGTAAGTACTTATTTATTTTTATCATATCGTCTCCATAGGGATTAGTGCTATTGAATTTTCGTTCCACAAGTCTCGCATTTATGAGTTTAGATAAAAAATTATTTAAAGTAAATGCATGAATTAAAACTTATGAACAGAAAAAGAATCCATTCTTTGAAGAGTAGAGAACTCCCGGGTTTGCATTTCATCTACCCTATCAAATACTTAAGAATGCTTTTCAGAATGAGTCTACGCCTGACATTATCTGAAGAATGCTTTTCAAAAAATCTCTAAAGGGAAATGCTTTTCAGAATGAAGGCCCTGAAGAATATGCTTTTTCAGAATTTCGTCTCTTAAGTGGAAATTCTTATTAGAAGGATCCTTTGAAGGAGATGCTTTTCAGAATAAAATTCTGAAGGGAGATGCTCTCCAGAAATCGATCTCTAGATGGGATGCTTTTTAGAATGTCGTCTCTGAAGGGGAAATTATTTTCCGAATGAAGCGCTGAAGGACATGCTTTTCAGAATAAACTTCTGAAGGAAATGATTTTCAGAACGAAGTGTTGAAGGAGAAATTATTTTCAGAACTCCTCTGAAGGAAGTTCTTTTTAGAATAAACTTCTAAAGGAAATGCTTTTCAGAATGAAGTGCTGAAGGGGAAATTCTTTTCAGAACTTCTCTGAAGGAAATGAACGACAGAACTCGGTCTCTGAGGGGAATGCTTTTCAGGATTCTGTTTCTGAAGGGGAAATGTTTTTCAGAATGAAACGCTGAAGGAGATGCTTTTTAGAATAAACTTCTGAAGGAAATGCTTTTCAGAATGAAGTGCTGAAGGGGAAATGCGTTTCAGAACTCCTCTAAAGGAAATGTTTCCAGAACTAGATCTCTGG